TACAAAAATGTGAGGGGTGTACTCAGTTCTGTGAGATACTGTATATATATATATATATATTCATAGGCTGCACTAGAGTGAAGGTAATATCACCAAAGCGAGGAAGAAATAGGCAAGAGAGCCTAGAAACTCCAGGCCCACTGGAACAGTGATAAATGGAGCAGTGATATGGGATTTAGCAGGAACAGAGGAATTAGTTGAGGAATATGCAAATGGAAGAGTTGCTGGGTGGCAGAAAGGTGCAGTTGTTGGGGTTTAGTGTCAAATGAGCTGGAAGGAAGCAAAAGTATTATTTTACCGAAGTTGATACTTGGAACATACTACCAGCAGAGGTATTGAATTAGTCAACAGTAACCGAATCTAAAGATGCTTGGGACAAACAGAGATGTATACTCAGATGAAACGATAAAAGAAAAAAGAAAAAAAAGCAGACAATAAGCCTATTATATCAGTGCAAGAAAGGAAGAGAAAAATAACAATCTGCAATAAAGTTTATTAAAATCCTTTCTTAAATGATGTTAAAGCCAGAGGATCTGCATGACAGCAAGGTAATTAGCCATTTCAGAAAGAGGTTATGCTCCATGCTATGTATTTCCATACATGAATTGCTGGTGGCAGGGTGTGGCTGTTTTGTGTCCTGGTCTCTCTAGAATAACAAGGTAAATGGGAACTGCAAAGCTCAGTAGGTATTCAGCACTGTAGCTATTGTTATCTGGCTTGCAGTCAGCATATTAGTTAACCAGCACTCGCCTGAGTCATACATACAGTAATGGGCACACGAGGGACCAGATGCATGAATTACCAGGCAGATGTGATGAATTACAGTTACCACAGAGGTAGTGGCCTGTCAGTTGGGTATAGTTTGGCTGTTTGTACAAAGTGGCATTGAGGTCAAGCAGGAAACTTCATGTATAATCTGTTGGAATGCATTCAGAGACCATGAAAAATAACTGGTGAACAGTCTTCACTTACCAATGCAGATTTCATCATCAGTTTCTGCATCACCGATGCACCGGAATTTGAATTCATTCAGTGATCCAGCAAATTTCCTCTTTGCAGATGAAAGAGCTGCAGGGAAAGAGAAATGATTCAGATACATGCAGAGAGGAACATAACAAACTTGTTTACACTCTGACTGCCAGCACAGTGTGTTTAATGCGTTTGTAAAGAAAGCATGCTGATATGATCAATGTATTTATATGCTATGCTCACACCAAAGGCATTTTACTGATACTAGAAAACTTAAGAAAAAAGCCCAAATATAAATGCCTCGTGTCAACATGTCCTTAATAAAAAAAAAAGGAAAGTTTATTTCAAGTAAGCAAATATTTTAGACATTAAGGCCTCATTCACACACAACTCAAGAGCAAAATTGTATATTGCGTTTATACGCATGTATAATGCGCGTATATATGAACGTATGTGCATATATGCGTGCACTATTTGCAACCCTACAATGCATAATTCGTAATAGAAATGTTAAGGAACTGTACGCACGTATATAAGCAGAAATACGCTGCCTGGACGCATCTCGGTTCCATTCTGTTTTTGCACATTTTTACGTTACGCAAATATACGGCTCCATACGCAGCTATGTGTATGAAGCCATTTAGTAGCATATACTACTATACGCGGGCGCGCATATATGCACGGCAGTGTGAATGAGGCCTAATTGTTAAATTCATTTTTTACATGATTGCCACACTTTTACATTGTTGTTCATTCATACAATTGCAATAAATACAATGAATTGTATATTAGCTACTAGATGGCGCCCTTTATGATTTCACTTTTTGCTTCCTGCTTTACAGCTGGTGAGAACAAATTAGTCACATAGGGAGTGCATTGTTTTTTAATGAGTCTCACAGACTCACAGACTTGGACTGCAACATAGAGCAGTACAAAACCTATTGTGTAGAACCGCAAGCAGAAAGCAGAACCTGCATCTGCAGAGGCAGCTCTAGACTTTGTGAGGCCTCAGGCGAAACTCAAACGTGAGGCCCCCACTTACACCCATAATGGAAAAAAAAGCAAACAATAATTAAAATTTAACTGTAAAAAAAATGGCATGTTTTAAGCCAATAACCACCAATAGTAACCACCAGCAAGTGTCAGGGCCAGCAATGCCAACCCCCAGCTACAACCACCAGCAAGAGTCAGGGCCAGCAATGACAACCCCCAGCTACAAGCACCAGCAAGAGTCAGGGCCAGCAATGACAACCCCCAGCTACAAGCACCAGCAAGAGTCAGGGCCAGCAATGACAACCCCCAGCTATAAGCACCAGCAAGAGTCAGGGCCAGCAATGACAACCCCCAGCTATAAGCACCAGCAAGAGTCAGGGCCAGCAATGACAACCCCCAGCTATAAGCACCAGCAAGAGTCAGGGCCAGCACTGACAACCCCTAGTTATAACCACCAGCAAGAGTCAGGGCCAGCACTGACAACCCCCAGCTATAACCACCAGCAAGAGTCAGGGCCAGCAATGACAACCCCCAGCTATAACCACCAGCAAGAGTCAGGGCCAGCAATGACAACCCCCAGCTATAAGCACCAGCAAGAGTCAGGGCCAGCACTGACAACCCCTAGTTATAACCACCAGCAAGAGTCAGGGCCAGCAATGACAACCCCCAGCTATAACCAGCAGCAAGAGTCAGGGCCAGCAATGACAACCCCCAGCTATAACCACCAGCAAGAGTCAGAGCCAGCAATGACAATCCTCAGCAAGTGTCAGGGCAATGATAACTATTAAACAATTTTTTACATGTCTTCTTACTTTAGCGTCTGGTGCCTCTAGTGACTCCAGCAAGTGTCAGGGCCTCCAATGCCATAATAATAGTATTATTCTGTATTATTAATACCATCAGCTATAGAGGACAACAAATCCCAGCAATACATACAACACTGCAGAATACCATCAGCTATACAAAACTACAAATCTCAGCAATACATTATACAGCAATGCAGAATACCATCAGTTATACAGGACCACAATTCCCAGCAACATACAGCAATGCATTATAGCAACGGCTATACAGGATTACAAATCCCAGCAATACATTATACAATCATCTATAGAGGACTACAAATCACAGCCAGCAATACATTAAAAAGCAGCAATTCAAATTAGATTTAAAAAAATATGTAAAAAATGCAACACGTGGCTTTGGGCTATTTATTCATTTTCAATCTCCATACTGCAGCTTCTGTTCATCTGTTGGGCGGGCGGGTGCACTGATGAATGATATAAATCAGCACAGGCATGGTCTTGTGAAGGCCGAAACTAAAAGTTAATGATCGACTCCTGGTATTTCTTTGCGGCAGCCGAAAGAGGAAAAACATAGTCCCCTTTCTCCTGTTGTCAGTTTAGCAGGGGGTCCGGGACAGGGGGGACTTTATCAGAAATCGATGCTTGAGTGGGCACAGGGGACTGGGACCGGCTTTTTTTCTTATAATAGAGCCCCCGTCTGTCCCTGGGCCCCCCTGCTGCTCGGCAGTAAAGGAAAGCCAGCTCTACCACCCTAGAGGCTGCGAGGCCCCCATGGATGCAAGGCCTTAGGTGACTGCCTAAAATGGCCTAATGGAAGAGCCGCCTCTGTGCATCCGTTATGAGGAAATATTGTTGCCTCCATGTACATATAAAAATGCCAAATTTACAAAGTTTTTAAAACATTAACATATACTATTAAAGAAGTACGCTGGGGAAATGGTTTATTAACCCTTACAGTGGGGCTAGCCCTGCACTGCAAAGGTTAAGTGCTAATTTTGGTCTAGGGAGTATAATAAAGTTATACTTACCCGATACTCCAAGTTTGCTTGCTGTTAGGCGGGACCTTGGAGCCTCTCTCCCCTCTGCTCCAGAGGTCTAGTGTCCTTGATTCATCATGTTCTATACACAGTGTATAGGACATAAGGATGCCAAGGGATATACCATTGCTGTAGCGGAGGAGGAGACAGGCTGGAGGGAGAGATGTCGCAGGCGGCCATCCCTGAGGATCGGATGAGTATAACCTTCTTATTTTCCTCCCTAGAACAAAAACGAGCACTTAACCCTTGCAGTGCAGAGGTATCCCTACTGCAAGGGTCAATACAAAATTTCCTTGGGAGTTCTGCTTTAAGGGATGTCTCAGTAAATGTATATGAAATCAAAATGTGAATCTGTAATTGACACACGTACACCTCATATTGTATGTATACTATTCACCACTGCCCATTTTGAGAATAATCTTACAGATGTAACTTCTATAACCTCTATAAATGAACATCTGTTAAAAATACCAGAGAAATCTTTTTGTTATATCAGTTCGATATGTGAAAAATAAAATACCTGTTGTTCAGCCAGAAATCAAATAAGTACTCGCTGTATCTCCTGTAGTGAAACCTCAAGCGCTATCAGCCTTGCCCAGTTCTCCTATGTATAAGTACTGAACACCTCCCCACTAAATTATGGAAATAAAGAAAGAGTGTTTTGTAGTCCAAATCAAGAGCAAGCAGCCTAGGGTGACAAAACGGCTCCTCCACAGATACTGAACAGAAAGTAAGCTTTGTCACCCTATGACAGGAAGTATGTCACTGGCAAGAATCTCCAAGTGAAAATAAAGGTGATTTCTGACTAACTGCTGGGGGTTGAGCCAGGGTCAGGCGCAGTGCCGAGAGCAGGGGGGTCAGGCGCAGTGCTGAGAGCAGGGGGGTCAGGCGCAGTGCTGAGAGCAGGGGGGTCAGGCGCAGTGCTGAGAGCAGGGGGGTCAGGCGCAGTGCTGAGAGCAGGGGGGTCAGGCGCAGTGCTGAGAGCAGGGGGGTCAGGCGCAGTGCTGAGAGCAGGGGGGTCAGGCGCAGTGCTGAGAGCAGGGGGGTCAGGCGCAGTGCTGAGAGCAGGGGGGTCAGGCGCAGTGCTGAGAGCAGGGGGGTCAGGCGCAGTGCTGAGAGCAGGGGGGTCAGGCGCAGTGCTGAGAGCAGGGGGGGTCAGGCGCATGTAGTGCAAGGGCCTGTCTGAGAGGACACCGACTATTCATCGTTGGATGGTGTAGGTTGGTTCTCATTTTACACAGTTTGGTAGACCTAAAGATTGCACAAAGATTGTATGCAGTGAGCCTAAAGGCTATAAAAAAGGTAACAGAGCTGTGTGAAGTCAAAGTATGACTACCAGAACCAAAAGATCCCCGATATACTGTATACGGCTATCTCTCTACAGCTACCTTTTTTTGTTTTTTTTAAACAACACGCACTTTACAAAGTGGTAGGTTTGGCAACTTTTAGCATTTGAAAAGTGATGGTATAAGCCGGCAATCCTCTTTCCTCATTCTTGCGGTTTCACAGAAATCCAAAACAATGTTAGAAAATGGTTTTAACTAATACTCTCAGGGTCCACTGCACTATACATGTGCCAGGATAAAATGACTGCGAAAATATCTTGGCCGTAACTGTTACTTTCCTGTATACGATCATAAATTTAAAGTGAATCTGTCATGTGCAAAATCGCAGCGTTCAACTCTCCCGCAAATAGCTTCCAATCAGATTAACTGAAGCTGAATGTAGTCAGCCCTCATGAAACTGCTCTGTGCCTTACGTTGCTAAGAATTAACACGCCATGACCAAAGTCTATTCTTCTACTGAAAAGACTCCAAGAGAATATTTTAAAGGGCAGTTGATCAAAATAGCTTACTCTAGTTTTTTACTTTAGTTTTAGCGAGGGGGTTTGGAACTTCAAACTAGGTTATTAGTGTGCCCCAACTGAGGAAATGTAGCCTCAGTTCCTCACAGTTAGGAAGAGGAAGCTTGTGCGCATTGCTACACAGCATGTATACATATCGCTAGCAAACTATTGTATAAAAAAAAAAAAACAAGGATTCTAGGTTTGCAAATATTACGATACACATTCAAGCTGGTCAACTGAATTAATGCAATACCTCTGGCTACTCACTATTCTAATGAAGAAATGTCAAATACTAGCATGTAGAGTATACTTAAATTGGCATAAGGAGCCAATATGGGGTAAACCAACACAGAACCAAGAATGTTCACTAATATACAACTGAAAAAAAGTGTTCAAAAGCAAACAAAATATAGGTGC